TGAATACTATAAAAAGAACAGATAATATTCTTATAGGGAAAAAAAAAACATTAAAAATGTCCAGCTCAGTGACTTTTACTTCTCTTGCAGTTTGATCTTCTTAATATTAAATCATTATTTCAATTAATAATAATTTTAATAATTCATCATTTCCTGTTTTATATGTATGTGTATTTTATATATATATACATGTTAAATATATATAAATATATGTATATATTCATATACCATATAGATAAATATATATATACAAATACATATATATACACATATATATGTATATATGTATACATATACACACATACATATACATATATATGTATATATGTATATATATACACACATACAGTATACATATATATACACACATACAGTATACATATATATACACACATACAGTATACATATATATATATATATATATATATATATAACCCCTATATGAACTAAATCAGCCACAAAATAAAAACATTAAAGCTCCACTAATAACAATCATAAATAACAGTGTCAGCTGATAAAACTGAAGTGTCACCGACAGAGAACGGAGTCGAGCGAAGCAGCCCGTAATCAATCACATGTTGGGGAAACGACCGGACGTTTTCATTACCTGCAGTAGTGAAGCCAACAATAATTCTGTCACCACCTGAAGCAATTACAGATTAAACACAGTAGAACCCGTATTCTTCTTCTATTTCTCCAACATTATTATCAATAACCTCTGCAGCTAATACCGTCTCCACTGTAGGCGAACGTCGTAACAAAGTCCCAGGATGCACCAGGAGGAGTGTTTGTCATATTTGTTTTTATTAAGATAAATCCAGGTAGGACGGAAGCTGCATTTCCTATGTGACAATAATAAGAAAAAAAAAACAAAATACTTAAAGCTAACGATGCAATGCGTCTCATACGACACAAAATCAAACATTTTGTGGTGAAAATTTTGGACACCGTTTGGAGAATGAAAGAAGGATTTGCATAATATGAATGTAAAATAGAGACGGCAAAGTATTGGACACCTACGCAGACACTGTGGCACTTTTAAAGAACGTATTCATACACAAAAGAGACACACATTCCATTAACTGTCAAGTGTCGGTGGAGGGAAATTCTGTGGTCAGAAATAATGACTAGATTTGTACGGTTAACAGGTCAATTTAAATGACAGTCGGTTGATTTTTCTGGGGTATGTACACGGAGAAAAAAAGGGAAAAAAAAGCTGACAGGAAAATAATAAATGTAATACAAAAAAAATATATATCTCACTGCTTCCTGCTTGCTTGCTGAAAACTGGCAAAGTGCAGCGTGTTTGACTGCGACGCTACTTTGTGGTGAGAAACTCAGCTCAGAATCCCCTTCATGGCGCACACACACACACACACACACACACACACACACACACACACACACACGGAGGATAGAACAGTGAACATAACAAACTGTCAGGATGTCAGCGCCAGCAGACACGCTGTGATTTCAGGCTGCAGGGGAAAAAAAAAATTTACAGTGAGGCCAAAAGTCAAACAGTGGTAAAATCAACAAACCTGATGTTCCGTATGTGACACACGCTGTCGGTGACTGCACTGCAATTACAAACATATATCTGTAGGCATATAAAAATATACTATAAAGAATGTTATAAAATACATCTAAATAAGTGCCTCGTTCGGAATTGGTCCCAGTTCCTCAAATACAATTAAGTGTGAATTTGATAAAATAATTGTTGGTTCAAGGTACGGTTATTTATACAGAAAAATTAAGGAAGAAAAAATGATAAAATACATACAGTCATTTAAGATATATTCATATTGCACAAATACTCAAGTGGTACTTTGTACTGGCTCTCTAGGATTCCTCTTCTCAAATACACAAAGAAAAAGCTTAATATTGGGAAAAATAAAAACAAAACAAAAACATAGGCACACACACACAAACACATTTTGGTCTTTTGTGAGCACTTCACATATATATATATTTCTCTAGTCCCTGACATTAACTTTAACATGTTCAAATGTATGCCTGATCATCATCCCTAACTCTAATGTGAACTCAAATTTACTTCTAACTCCAAACTAAAGATATGACATCAAACTACACTCTCACTCAGTGGAGGACTTGAACAATGTCCCCAGAAACCAAGTGTCCGCTCAACAACGTGATTATCCTCAACTACGTCCCCACTTGTATGGCTTAACCTGAAATACACACACACACACACAGGTATTTTTTGTGTGAGTTTTGTGTCACTTTACATCGACAGAATGCATTTTCTTTACACTTAACTAATAAAATGTTTCATAGTTAAGGGGCCAGAACAAGGGTGCCAAACATACGGCCCGTGGGCCAAAACCTACTCACTTGGGGGGGTTCACCCGGGCCTGCTTGATGAATTTTGAGGGTGAAAAAAATGCACAAACACTTCATGGTGGTGATGTTTTGTCAAATTGTATTTCATTAAATATGAATATTTTCTAATGTTTTTGTACTTATTTGCATGGAAAACAAGGGAGGGAAACATGGACTTATTGTTATATATATGTTTTATCTAATTTGGGCCGTATGTGGACCAGAAAATGCATTATGTCTGTACCTGACCTTAACCCTTACTTCAACTCTAATTTGACCCATATCCAAATCCAAATAAATTTTAAATTTTAAAACTCAAAATAGACTCTCTCTCAGTGGGGACCTCCAAAATGTCTCCACAAGGACAAAGTGTCCTTTAAAACAATGGATTTATTTCAAGGGCTGTCCCCTTAAGTATAGCTATACCAGACCAGGCACACACACACATACACACATGCGCGAGCATGCAACGGGCAGAAAGAGAGGAAATAAGACACACGGCTTAAGTACACAGTATAAGGAGACATTTCACAAATGTCACTGGTCTGGAGAGAGATTAGGGATAAAGGTTAATAAATTATTCTTCAACTCCACGGCCGCTGAATACAAATACATAACAGTCGGGCCGGGTCTGAGCTCAGAGATCGGTCTGTGTGTGCGAAGAATAGTTCTAACAGTGCAATTCCATTGACTGTTTAACGAGTGCAGTATACGAGAGTATATTTGAGGAGGTAAATGAGAGGCAACAGAATTCAAAATCACACTTAACCAGTAAAAAGGAAACCAAAGGTGGGTTCACGGCTCAACCGTCATAGCCCTACGTTCACCTCTGTAGCTTAATGCTAACGCAGGATACACCGTTCACAAACCGCGTTTTCAAAAATGAGGGTACACTTTCGGAAAAACAAAACGTCATTCAGGATGAAATCTTCAGTTTGGTGATCATTATTGACGGTGAGGACTACAGGACGTTTTTAGTGATTTCACTAATAAATCTAATCTAACAGTGTTGTATTTTGTAAAGGGATGTGCTGATATTAGCTTTATTATGTAATATTGGTAAGAATTCGTTATCGTTTTTTCTTCCAATAATGAAAACCCGATTACGCACCGTCTTGCCAGCCAGTTGACTTAGCATGATATCACGAGATCCAGCAATAATTCCAAAAACATGGGAGACCCCACGATCCTGCGATAAAAGAACTGAATAAAGAAAACAAAAATCAATGGTTTTTTTTGCAACGCTCCAGAGACGCTCCCGTTGGAATATCTCTCTTTGATTATAAATGCTAAACGCTCCTGTATCTGCGTCGCGGCTGTAACGCAATGTTGACGTTTCCAGTGGAATGTAGGCTAACACAGGAAGAGACTTAGTTCCTGGTCTCGTTTTTTGCACCAATGACAAAAGCACAGACTCTTGGAACACTGAGTGCATGGGCCTTACTGGCCTGCCTGCAGTCCAGATCTGTCTCTGATTGGACGTAGATGACAACACCAAGCAGCAAAACACTCACTCTTCAGTGTTTGGTGTCTCCCCAAACTACAGATTTGACTTTGTACTGCGTATTCAGAAAGTGTACCATCTTTTTGGACAAATGCGGTTTGTTTACTTTCAAACTCTCAGATGAAGTAAGTATCTACACTGAACAAACGCTCTGTGAGAGCTGGATACGGATAAAACATAATATTACCTGCAAACACACACGACATAAAAAAAAACTGTGTTACGGTAAAGGTAAAAAGCTGTGTGCAGAGCTGCTGACTCGACTTTATTTCACAATTCCACTTGGAAGCGAAGGTTGAGCTTAACTGAAGAAATACTATTTTGATACCAAATATAGACTGAATTGAAACTTCCTGTCCACAGCACAAAAGGAAACATTAGCGATAATTATGTGCTCTGTGGTATTCCATCAACTCCTTGAGCTGTGGCTTAAAATACAGTTCCCAAGAGTATTTATAGGTTGGATTTTTTTTTTTTTTTATGAATCATTGTGTTTTGCGAACAAATCGTTTGTTTAAATTCCTCGACCGCGCACAGCCATCTTTAATCTCTCATTGGAGAGATATCTGCGTCATAGAAGGGATCAACAGACAAATCAAAATGGTGGCGTCTGGAGGAGATATAGATGAGAGTAAGATAAAAAGTTAAAAGACAAATTACAGTTTGAAGAGGCACAGATATGCCCTAAAACCTTTCGACTCGGTCGCCCGTGGGTTCACTTTCACGTTTAAGGTCTTAAAATAAAAACGATCTCCACGGCAGAACCAGTTCAAGCTAAATAAAAAAAAAACCTCTTGAAGAAATGCAAAAGTGTTCGGGAAAGTGTAGATAGAACAGAATCATCTCATCAGATGATTTTTAAAAAAAATGTATTATTAAATATTCTTTGATATTTATTGGCAGTTGGAGATGGAGGGTGAAACACCACACACTCCATCTCCTGTTTATAAAACGATGCCTCAAAATGATGTGAAGAATTATGATTTTTATCTCCCCCTTGTAGACTCATTAGTCAGCTCTGCATACAGCTATATGGCTCTGTGCGTAGTACTATACATTACTGCAGTGATTATTTCCTTGGCGTGAGATCCTCCTTTACTTCATGATTTATTGCTACCTTTTGGCAACGAATATATTTTCTCTATTGTTTCTCAAATGTCCAATAAAAAAAAAAAACCAGTGGGAGGCGAATCGACTTTACATGTGGTCGGCTCTGACTGCATCGCGTGAGAACGGCATCATCATTATCACCGTAACCATCGCGGTGCTGCGGGGGCTTCAGAGAACTGAGTGGGTCAGGGTTAAAGCCTTTACATGATACGGAAGAAAACGTGAGGAAGGCAGGAAGTAAGATGGATTCACCAGAGAAATCTAGGCTTAAGTTTTAAAGTCTTGAAGTGAAGACTTCTTTATCATCTGAGGTAGCTGTTAAACATTGACCTCAAAACTCCAATTCGGACAAAGATACCTTTGAAAATATATATATATATGTATGTTTTTTTTTGTTTTTTTTTGGCGTTTTAGTCCTGGAGGTGTTGTTGATAACTTCTGGTCTGACCGAGTCACAGACCCTTTGTTGCAGTGGCTTAGATGTGGATGCAAAACAGCGTTTCATCTGTTTTCCAAAGTCAATCTTTTGACTGGTTTGTCTCCTGTCTAACTATTATTGTGCTGCCATCGCACGAGCACAATTCTCTGAAAGGAATGCGGTGAATTTCCTGTAAGCTCTTGGGGGGATATGGTTTGTTTTTCCTGTTGCTGGGAGCCTTTTTTCCCTCTTGAACTTCCTGTCTGGTCTCGACAGTGAAGCAACAGAGGTACAGCGTCAGAAGCCACAGATTGGACTTCTGTTGTTTGTCGCCCGGCCCTGTGGGTTGTGCTTTTTTAATTTTTTTTTATGTGAATTTAAAGAGGGCATGGAGTGGAGATGCTTTTCAAGCACTACGATGGGGAAACAAAAGCACAAAAACCCGAATAGGTGACTTTGAAGGGAGATGGTGGCCCTGCTGGTGGTAGAGATTAGCATGATTTCATGCCATGCTGCTGGTCGGCGTGCTCTTGGTGCTTCCAATACTAGCATTTGCGCTGCTGTTTTCAGAGGGGGAAAGGTTGTCGGAAACTGGCTGTCGCTTCGCTCCAGAGCAAGGGCACCCTGCACAAAGAGGAGAAAGAAGTCAATTAGCAAGAGATAAGAAAAACTGCCAACACAGATACACAAGACACAAAGAAAGAAAAAAAAAACTCACCAGGAAGACCGGCTGCAGTGGAGCTCATATCTATGCCAGTTGGATAACCTAAATTAAGAAGGATTAGGTTATTTGAAAACCCACAAACGTGAATAAGAGAAATACTTCATGGTCCAGTTCCATTACCTGTTTTAATTTTGATAAACCACAGTGCCCCGATAAGTAATACCCCAATCAGGAAGCCTCCGAACGCAATTCCCAGAACCCCCGGTAGACCGAAATCAAAGCATGGAGGGGCTGAAACACACACATTAGAACAGTACAATGTGAATATAAGAATAAAACATTTGAAACGTCATCATTTTCAGGTTTTGGTGGTGGACCCCAACTTGAGACCCCGTTTTGAAATCACAAATTTCAGCGGCTCTTTTTTCCTCTAGCATTCGTTTTTGATCATGTTCTTTATAATGTGTTGAAAGGATTCCCAAACAAACTGTGTGTGGTGTTTTTTAATCATAATTTTCAACAGAATAATAAGATTAAAAGGTCCTTTTGCAGAATTTGCAGAAAGATAAATAGTGGAAAAAATATTTTTATCAGTCATTTTTTTGTATCAGTTACTGGACATTTCAGACGATGGCATTTGAATTCCAGTGAACCGAACAGAAGGTCATGACCTGAAGTTTCAATGACTTTTTACTCCAACCAGAGCCAACTTTTTGGTTTTGAGACTGAAAAACAGAAGGTGATTTTCAGTTGAATCGTGACATTGCTGTAAAAGTTCTGCTCACTTTCTGTTCAGGTTTAGTTTTTCCCGCAATTTTTAATATGATTTTATTTATTTGATGTTAATTTTATTCGTACACTGCTTAATTTGGCAACAGGTTTAAGTTTGAAGACTTATTTGAATGATACAAAAATATTTGTTTAATTTTGGATTTAAATCACCTGTAAATGAGAAGAAAATAAAACAGGCGGTAAGAATGTTTGGAGTCTTCACTGTGATTTTGGTTGGACTCGCTCCTACACACTGCATGTCAACAGATATTTCCCACCTACAGAACACAGCCTTCCAGCCTTCTGAGACAATCTTAGCTAAATGAGAGTGTGAAAATGAATGAATCCAATTTCAATAATCCAAACATAAAAAATTGGTGTACGTGCATACATGTCATGTTGTTGATTTACCGAGTAATTGATCAACACCAGACTGTGCAGCTAAATGAGAGATGCAGCCCAGCACGGCAGTTTCTGCTCAGAATTTATATCCTTGACTGATTTTTTTTCCGGCTCACACAGGACGACACCAACAGCTTTTTCGAGATGATTTAAGTTTTATAGTAAAGATTTTCACCTTAATGGAAAATATTGTATTTCATTTGTACAAGCTGCAGCGTGTCCCTTCAACACGGCCTCTCTTCCCTTTTGCCAAGTTACCATGACGATGTGAGCACAGCTCCGGCAGGAAATATGACAACCATTACATTCACATGTTCACCGTCACAGAGAGAGGGGGGAAAAAAAGTACATTTGTTCCCTGTCCATATCTCTCTTCTAATTTTACGACACAAATTTCATTTTTACAATCAGGTTATGCATCGGTGATGTTCTCCGAGGGAGCAGCGTTGGGGCTAACCCCGCAGAATGTGTCTCTCTGCTAACACACTTAATAGAAAACATAAAACTTGGAGCCAGCAGCAATAAAAATATATATATATATATAAAAAAATCACTATCCCCCAAAGCAGCTCTGAGAGAGAAGAAAAGCACACTAAAACCTGATCAAGTCTCTGACATACAATCCTGTGGCAGACTCTATAAGCCGGACAAGGACAACCCACTGTTGTTCAACGTGGTCTCAAACAGTTCACCCTGAGACAAGTGTCTTTTCAAAACCTCTACAATAGATCATGGTCAGTTTCTTTTCTTTTTCTTCCCATTACTCAGGCATCACCCACAAGCTGTGACATTTGATTAGACTAGAAAACCACAAAGTTCTGTTGAGAAGTAAGAAATATTGAATTCAAACTTTTGCTGCCTTAACGTCATGAGGTAAAACTGGCTGTAAATACGTTTCCTGCTCCATAATTTGGACTAAAAAAAGTGACATAAACAAGTCAAAAATATCAAAATTCACACCAAACTGGAAAGTGTTTTTTGAAGAAACACAGTGAACACACCAGTTCCCTCTCTTCGTCTTATGACGGCCTGTAGAGATCCTTCAACATTTGGAAGAATCTAATCATCACCTTTGCATGAGTTCCTCTCACCTGCCTCAGCTGCCTGCTGCCTCCTGGTGAAAAGTGCCAGGCTTAGAGGATCATTCAATACAGGTCCTGTTTCCTCAAGTATTAAAGTATTAAACGAAAAAACATAAAGGACAGAAGACAGAGAGTGTTTGTATTAACCTGAATGATTTATGAATGTGAGTGGTCACCGAGTCTCCATTTCCATACATACCACTGGAGGTTCACGTTGGAGTAAAAGTCAAGAAAATAATAATTTAAAAAGAAGAACATTTAGTGAATGTAACTAAAGAAAATTATATAATTGTGTTCAAAAAATAGTTTTCCTTTTTTATATTTCATATGTTAAATTCTTTTATGTTTTTCATAAAACTACAGCAAATGAATGAAAAAAAAAGAACGAATAAATGCACTGAAATAGTGACATCTGGTGGAGAACAGGCCTGACTTCATGGCTTGATGTGTTAGAAAATAAACTTTTTTTCCACCTTAAAAGGACCAGAGACATAAGAGCGGCATCAACAAGGTTTCCTCTGGGGACTTTTTTTTTTTTTTTTGGGTTTCCTCTGGGGACATTTTTTTTTTTTTTTTTTGTCTACAGTACGTCTCCATGTAACTTTGTTTTACTGAGGGCTTCACAGCTAAGCTGAATAAACAGGAGCAGGAAGCAGAAGCCTCAGTGTGGATGCACACGAGGACACAGGCAGATGTCCTGTGCCGAGGCTCCCTGGAGCCATTTTTTGCTCTCGCTCCCAAACAGGAAGGATTGCTGAATAGAGCACACATTCCTGCCCGGTGAAGACGGAACAGTCGATATGACCCTTCTAAACTCCCGACACGGGCTGAAGAATGGGGGGGTCGAGCAAACGGACCTACTAAACCGGCACGTTCCTTCACGGCTCATTCAAATCCCCAACTTCATTTATGCCAGAGAAACATTTCTAATCAGGCAGGTCCAAGAGCAACAATAAAGAAAAGGGCAGACAGGACACAGGAAAGTGTGGATGAGTAGTTCATCAGCTTCCTCACTGCAACACACACACACACACACACACACACACTAACAATGATGCACCGCCCTTTGTATTCCCCTTATAGAAGGGAATGCAGAATGAAGGAAGTTAAATAACAAACACTCCCTTAATTAGTTTCACAACAGACCGACCGTACGTCTTCTTGCTTTGACAAAACTTTATGTATTTTGATCGTTTGACATGAAAAAAAAAAAGTCATCAGCCAAAAATCAGTCAACAGGAACTTCCTTATTTGTGGAAAGCTAGCTTTCCTTGTTGGATTGATTTTTTTTTTTAATGTTTTTAGTAGTTTAAAAGACCCTCTCCTTCCAAGACCCCCTGTGGAAACACAAAGGACTTCAGCTCCGTCCCCTAAGGAGCCGTTACGTCTGATTGTGGTCACAGGGTCAGTCAGCAGACCTTCCTAAAGGACGGAGCCCTGGCCCCCAGCCCCTCACTGACTTCACTGCACATCCGGTGAACACTGCTATGACAACCGCCGGTGTTGTGCACTTCAACAATATGGAGGAAAATCACAACATTAAGCTGCAAAGACTTGAAGAAACTGACTTTTAATAATAATAAAAAAAATCTTCAAAAACAAAATTTTCTCTAATTATATTTCTTACTGTTTGTTGGATTTAATTGCATTTTTTCCTTTATATTATAGCACTAGCAAAGAACAAAAAAGTTTTAAAAACATTTAACAACATTGTCCAGATTTTATGAAGAGCAGACATGAACAGACAGAGTCCAGTCTGGAGGACATTCACACAGGTTTAATATTTCTCCTTTATAAAATTAATTTTCCATGCAGCAGCGTAAGGGTGGATAATTATTTTTAAAAAAGGTTTTCTCTCTGCTCCACTCAAAGATGGTTCAAGGGCAGCTGAATCACTCCCAATTCAGCCCTACTGTTAAATTTTATAACTGTAGGGATGAATTCAAGCTATCCTATTGGCTAATGCTGCTTCGCACTGATTGTTGCTTTATACATAAATATATATACATATATGTTTCACCTGGATATTTAGCTTAATCAAATCATTCCTTTTGCTCATTTTAATATTGTTGGTTCGTGTGTAGATATTACTGGGCTAACTCTTAGTTATCATTTGACTTTGTTTGTTTTATGGTCAACTTTGAGCTGTAATAATATCTTAGCTTACTTTTAGATTATGAGTTTTCACACTAAATCTTTGTCCATTAACTTTTAAAATAAATTGCATTTGAATGCTACTCATTTTAAATGAGTAACTGACCACTTTTTAAACGAACCTTTATTGAATATTGTAATGCATTTGCAGACAGTGGACTCTTGTGAATTCAATTAAAAAAAGTTTCTCTTGAGTTTATTAATTTATTCGAAGTTAATAAGTTTTTTTATTCACATAAATTTGCCTCTGAATGTTGAGCATAAAAACAATGAATTGTGTCATTTATTTGTGAAGCAAAAATAAAAATGTTGTGGGATTAAAGGAAATCGATAACACGTGCTAATATCGCTTTATTAAAACGTTTTGAGTGTATTTTATCAAGATAACTTGGCTCAGTATATATTTAGGTTTAGCTCCTGAAAGTTTCACTGGTTTATATTTCGGAGTTTAACTGAAACTCACCTGGTTGCTGCAGACACGGCTGGGTGACCTCAAGATTCCTCTTCACTCTTCCTCCATCTGCACATTTCTAACAAGATGGAAGCACAACAGTAAGAAAATTAAAAAACAATTTCTCAACAGGATGAAAAATAACGATAAAACCATCAATAGGCTGGAGGCTGTGGGGAGGTAGAGAAAAACCATCAAGCCCTCGTAAAGTGTTCAGTGCATACAAATATAGCATTGCTCACTGGAGTGTTTCATTCCGTTTCGTCTCCTACCTCACTGTAGCATACTTGCACCGAGCATTCCAGGCCCCATGTGGTGGACGTCAGCTCCTGCAGCTGATCTAATGAGAAGCTGAGGCGGGCGCTGTTAGGACAGGAGCTGGAGGAGCAGGCCTCGGTTCTGAAGGGCAGCTCTTTGGCTACAGGACACGTGCCGTTGGAGCGAACAACACAGCTGACCACTTTGATGGTCAACACGAGATTCCCCAAGATGTTGCCTGAAATCTTCAAGAGACACACAACAGAGGACGTAAACAAATGGAAAAGTAAAAAAAAAAACAACAACAACAACAACAATCTGAACACAACATCTGAGTGAAGTGAATTATTTGAGGAAAAACTTTGATTTTTTTTTCTTTGCAGACATAAAAGAAGTCTCCGAGGTGCAACCACGTCCCCACACCCTGAACAGTGAGACAGCCTTATTAACAGTGCCAAACCAAACAGCAGGATTGTTCAGCTTTGGCCCAAGGTTGCAACACAGGGATGGCTCTGAACAAACTGAATGTAACATTAACAATGAGGAAGCGGCAGCCTCTGATGGTCTGTGCTCCAGGGTTTTGCTGACAAATCAGCACAGCTACAGTACATTCACGCACCTTCCACCTCTCTTTATCTGCCTAAGTCATGTTCACTGTCTCTGAACAGTGAACATGAATTGATGTCAAGATCAATTTAAAAAAAAAATCAGTGGCGAAGCTATGGGACAGTTGCCATGAGGAACATAACGATACACATATTCTATATATATATATTGTTTTCTCACCTCTGCATAAATTCTCTTGTTGCTCTGCACTTTGGTCTTAGGGTCAAGCGGAGAGCGGTAATCCGGGGAGTTGTATAACTGCATGAGCAGAGGCATCTGAGCCGGAGGATTGGTCGTGATGGGAATAACTGGTGGCAGTGGTTTTTCTGTAACTGGGGGGAAGATGACAAGGAAAAAAAAAACAAAAAAACATTCCATGACAAACTGTTCATCATGTGTATTTAGACCAATGGGGGCTCAGGAGCAGATAGATTGGTGAAATGTAAATATTGCAGGGAAAAAGCAGAAGTATAACGACAATATAAATAAATTACAGTATATAATTTGGAAAAGTTTGGCGGGCCGGATTAAAAAGCTCTTAGTTTTCCAATGCGCAATTTAGAGTCACTGAGCAAAAGATGTCAAAAATAAAAGTAATAATAATAAGAAGAAGACGCTCATTAACACTCATTTGAATAATGAATGGTGTGAACTGATTAAATCAAGAACAACATAATGATGTTAGCGCCCCCTGGCCTTACTGTAAACAGCAGTTGTTAACATGTTTCTCCTCATGTCCTCACCTTCAACAGTGTCACTTTTCACCAGTAAGACTGCAGCGGAGGTCGGTCTGAGTTCAGTGTAGCTGGTGAAAGTACTGACTTTAAAGAAGCCCAGAGCCGTCCTTTGCACATCGATTGCGCTGTCACTGTTCACCGGATCTGGAGGTGTGATTTTATTTGTCAAGCCAGGCAGTATAATGTCATTGTTGGACTGCAATGAAAGAGAGAAACATTTCGTCTAGTAAGAGACAATCACTTGATAGGTTTCGCCAACATACGCGGTTTAAAGGAGCCGGAGTGAACGTTCTAAGCAATTCTGATCCAGCTGCGACTTCCGCAGTGTGTGTGCACGTGCCACCAACCTTAATCTGTATGTATAGTGCATTAAGTATGGTCCAGGTCGTCCCCTGAGGGCCCCTCAGGAACAACTTGATCTTCCTCGCGTCCTCGCGTCCACGAATTGAGACATTACTGCACGATGGAGACAAAAGGAGTTGTTCAGGAATGTTCTACAACATGAAAATATAAAATAAATCAAGACTTTGTGCTGTGAATCACGGTTTACCAAATGTTGGCATTTTCTGGAATGTTTATGATGTGAAGTTCAGCTCCTTCAAGAGGCGTTTGTGGCTGTGGAGAGCAGGACATGAGGGGTTGGGGCTGGTTTTCAACCTTTATGAAGTGCTTCTCCGACGCGTCTTCATTTCTAAGTGTGCAATAGCGAGAGCCAGAGTTGGTTCCTACGATCAGAATCAAAATGAGAGCTACTTATTTGATCCCATGTTGGTGTTTCAGTTGTTCCTGCAGGAGTATGTCAAGAATTAGACAGACAAAAAAAAAAAAAACACTCAAGGTAAAAGAGAATAACATGTTATCATAACGGTAAGAACAAACACTGTCAAATGTAAATGTTCAGTTCAGCAGATAATAAAATGAGCTTCACGTCATCAAAACAAATTACCGTCAATTTTAGAATGTAAAATATTGCAATATTACCAATTATTCATATCAACAATAAATTCCCTACCCGATATTTAGATTTTAGTAAAATTTACCAGAATACTGCACAGTAAATCAGAATATTGTAAAAAAAAAAAAAAAAAGTTAACTACAAACTGACCAAATTCACTAGAACGAATTTGTTAAAATTATACACATTTAATGCACATTACTTTGTAATTGTTCTAATTGAAAAAAAGTAATATCAACTGATCATTTCACTACTGTTTAAATATCTCACTCTAATGTCATTTGTGTGAAGTTTCCAGTCATGGTCTTTGATTCACATTAATGTGATGAACACTGATGCTCTTAGAGACAGATTCCAGTGGGGAACAATCTATTTTAAAGCATTGTTTCCCAAAGACTGGGTCGCGACCCTCAGGTGGGTCGCAAGATTTTTTTTGTGGGGGGGGGTCATCTCGCATTATGTTTAGCAGGAGTCTACACATAATGTTTATTAACTTGGGTCGCGAAGGTTTGTGACGTTTAATATATGGGTCGCCAGAACAAAGTATAAAACTTGTATTCATGAAAAGGATAAATAGAAATAAAATTATTAGAGAAAAATGCAAATTTTAAACTACAGAATGTTTAACCCTGAACAACACACGGCAGCAGCAATGAAACTTTCATATTTTTGAATCAACGACAGATTTCAACAGAGTACCATGGACATGATTTTATAATATCACACCTGGCAACTCTGTTGTGTAATCACTGCAGAAATACTCTTCAAACGCCCACAACAATGCCCACAGAACATCACGGCAGCACAGACAGAGACACCGTGTCATTGAAACTCCTCTTCTGTTCTGCTCGACTTGTTTCAATTCCACTGCAGATGAGGAGTTCACTATAGCGCTCACTAAAACTGGGATTTGCTGAGCAGTAAAATATCCATTTATCCTCTGGTAAAGTTACTTGTCCTTCGTGGGTCACTTTGTGGGTAAACTGTGTGACAGGGGTGAAGTCAGTAACTCGGGATGAATACCTATAGTTTACAGAGAGTTCCTAAATGAGTTCCCAAAGAAAATGCGTAGCATGCATTACTTTACACTTCTATCCTCACTCACGTCCATGTTTAGTTTGGGCTCAAACTGCCCTAAGGGTTTGTTTTGGAATTATTGTGCCCACGTTGAGCATCCTGCTGCGACTGCAGCTGGCAAAAGCAGCCGGTAACACCCTGATGTCCAGGTTTCACACAGCAACAAATGCTCACTCTCATTCTTCGTGATTCTGTGCATCCATTTTTAGTATCTTTTTTGGACATTTTTCCTCGGCTCGTGTCCTTCCAAATGTTTCGCCATATGCAATACTGCATTGTCAGCGCTCGGTGGTCTGCGATCGGCAGCCAAACTCTTTAATAGAGCTGAGAATTCACACCTAATAGGTGGGATTTATTTCTATTTTAGCAAACATGCAGTCTCATCAGCAGATGCTGCATGTTTTTAAAGAGGTTCAAATTATGCGAAGTCACCGTCAGTGTCTATGCTGCTGTTTGGATCACTGCTGTTCTACGAGATAAGGGATAAATACTTTCACAGAATGTCCCTGGATTTTTTTGGGAATTTGTCTGCTGCTATCATTCCAGCTTCTCTCCCTCAAGACAAGCCGCAGATAACATTTACAATTTAATACCCAGAGTAAACAGTGATATAGTTCAGTAAAAATCTCTATTTCCTGTTCTACGCGAAAGGAGACGGTCCACACCGCCGAAAATATCAGGCCCGCACACTGGAGATTAGAGAAATGAAAGTGGTGAACGGCTGTAAGATGACGTCAGTTCTACTGAGCAGGTGTTTCTGTCATGGTTTACACATCAACACAGCTGTTTGTTTTCATGATCTCAGCCTACACGTCGTTAGTTCTCCCAGATTTGGACATCTTTGTTTTGCGCTATTGTTTGGGAGACTGAGAGAGTACTGTTCAGGCTTTTAGCCGTCTCATGGAGGCACCCTGAGTTCTCACGAAATCATCAGAGTGGACCTTCATAAACACACAAGATAAGAGAGAGTTCATGAGAAATTTCACCCGAGGCTTTTGAGCAACACCACATCCAACCTTGATTAATGTACTGTGGACGGGCGGGTGATGTAAGCTTTGAAGGCCATTATCCTGCTCTTTACAGCACCAACAACACTGTTGGCATCCATACAAAAACACATGTAACATGCATATTGAATCAGTGATTCCCAAACTAAGTGCCGTGGCACGTTAGTGTGCCATGAGAGATCATCAACAGTACCGTGGAAAATTATCCAATTTAACTAAAACTATTATCTATTACGGCTAACATTTTTTTCTTTTTTCCTCTTTGCAACAGTGACAGGCAGTAAAAAAAAAGTCAAAAGATTGCTATAAAAAACCGTATAAAAGAAACGTGGGCGTCTTTCTTCTTATAAAAAAACGTATAAAAGAAACGTGGGCATCTTTCTTCAATTCCTGCGGGTATAACAGAGCTGTCTTCAACTAAACAGTAAGTTTGCGTAAATTGAAACCAGAAGATCATTATATTTCACTCCATACTTTTGTGACATTTTTTGTGGTAGCACGGGATTTTTCTAATCCAAAATATGTGGTTTTGGAAAAAAGGTTAGGAAACAGTTTATTATAATATTATAATCTGTGAAAATAGTTCTTACCTGCTGTTCCTGTTGTAGAAAGCCTCATCAGATTATTAACTGTAGTGAGGGAAGTCACACCACCAAACTTCTGTGTGGCCCATTTCACCAGTTCCTCAATTTGAGTTGGAAAATCCAGCTTGTGAACATTGTTGTTGGGACCATTTCCAAGTATAACCACTGTGGAGTTAGTTTTCACCTGTGAAAAAGCAACATTTTTTTTCTTATTTAAGGTCAAATTCAACCTGAAATAAATACACAATCCTGACATTCTGAGTCAGCAAACACCAGAGAGGTGAGAGTCTGACTGTTTCACGTCATGAGGTAATGACCGAGTCATTTTTTTTTGTTATCCCAGTTGTTTACCCATCACTTTTTCCTCCTGTACTTTTTTTCTAAACCTCCACCCAACTCTCCTTCCATTCTCTTTGCAGGGTGCCGTTAAACAGAAATGTTTATTATGGTTAAGTGTCCACGAGCCCAGTTGCACAACCCTGTTGGAGCCAAGGTCTTTCCTTTGCTTCCTGACTGGGGCCAGGAAATGGGACCTTTTTTAAGCTTTGTGCGTCACCGCCGTCGGCTAAAATCTGGCTCCATACATGGTATAAATATATACATCTATTCCATCGACTAGACACTGCAGTTTCCTCGTCTGCACCAATGGGAAATAATGGAGTTTACATTAAGCTTAGCGTTGATAAGAAGGCAAAGGGAAGGCATTGTAGAAATGAAAGAGTAATGGTTGTTTACAGGGGTTTCTAGGCCATTACTCACACTTTTAAAAGAGTTGCTCAATTAATGGCAAAAAAAGAGAGGGCTTTTGTTGTTGTTTTCAGATCCTAGGCATCATTCCACTTTAATCATCTCTAATTTTTCCTTCTCTTCCTTACCCGTCAAGATAAAGGGAAGGGGGGGGGGGGGTAAGATAAAGAGCCAGACAAGTAGAAGGGCATTTATCCACAAACACTGACGCTGAGGAAAATCTCATTCCCTGAAGATGTGGAACAATGACATATCATTTTCTTTTCAAAACACCTTATTTCAGAGCTGCATATAAAGTAACAACCATGTTTTATGTTTTAATGCACCTCCTCTGTTCAAATTTTCATTCTTTTATTTTTTTTATGTATTTGTTCTTCAGATTTCAAATTGGGCTGCATGCAGGCAGTGTGACAAATAATTACTGGATTCTGACTCAACAAACTGCTCAGCCTGCTTTGTCAGTAAGAAAAGAACGGAAAATAGACACACAATGAACCCAGTCATTGTAGAAAGTACATTTTCATTGTGATCAAGTATCGAATGTTATGAGTGAGGTGAATCACTCCCTCGCACTGTTATTTGTTGGCATCCAAGAGTGGGGTAAAAATAGGGAAAGCCACGCGACGCCGAGGAAGTTTAGTTTCTCAAATACGAAATATTATATTGACAGAAAAGTGTGTTAAGAACCACTGCATTACATTGAAGGAAAGCCCGTCGGAGCAGAAGCAGGCAGCGTAGGAGGCGTAAAAAGCAGGATGGGGAGAGAAGGGAAAAACACAGTGTTAATCATGTGAATGATTAGAGCAGAATTTAATTCCCTGTGGGAAACGGTTTGATACAGTGCAGGCTTGCTGGGAAGTTAAAGGAATCTGAAAAGATGCTTTGAGTGAAAACAGCATTACTATCTGCCGCAGATTACAGAAAGTGCTGACAAAGCGTCTTTGTGATCGGCCCGTCCTGCGCTCCACTGCTCAAGATGCAGCCGCGCCATCTTTTCACCTGATAAATAACCTCCTGGAGAAGGTCAAGAATGAGGCGTATACACAAACAGACTGCATGAAATGCTGTATTTAGGACTGAGGACTAGGAACAAAAATCTTGTTATTCCTGTGTTTTTTGTTTTGTTTTGTTTTTTCAAATGCCTGATTACTGCAGTCCACTGTGAGTGGATAACGAGGGCCGTGCTCATGTCAAGCTGTCAGAGCTGGTGACCAACTTTTCTCAGACACAAAACAGATGCTGTTCTTCACATGGTGTAATCTGCAGTAAAACAGTGTTATCCCACAGTGATAGAGCTCATCCCATGAAAACATCCCGTGTTCACAGTCAACACCGGGCTCTTAACAGGACATGATACAGCCTGTGGTGTGGCACAGCTGTCAGCGTGTCTCTTACTTCTCTTACTGTAACACTGGGATTGATCAACGTGGACTTTATTTTTATTTCTGTATATTTATCATGCTAAATCTAAATCTAGATCTGCAAATAATAATTATAAAAAGGTTGGCCACTTTAACCTTGTTGAAGCTTTTCAAAATGATTCCTTTCCTTTATTTCTTGTATTTCTTTTATCCGTGTTGAACATGATTACTGCAGTCCAGTGTGAGTGGATAACGAGGGCCGTGCTCAGCCTGATTACTGCAGTCCACTGTGAGTGGATAACGAGGGCCGTGCTCATGTCAAGCTGTCAGAGCTGGTGACCAACTTTTCTCAGACACAAAACAGATGCTGTTCTTCACATGGTGTAATCTGCAGTAAAACAGTGTTATCCCACAGTGATAGAGCTCATCCCATGAAAACATCCCGTGTTCACAGTCAACACCGGGCTCTTAACAGGACATGATACAGCCTGTGGTGTGGCACAGCTGTCAGCGTGTCTCTTACTTCTACTGTAACACTGGGATTGATCAACGTGGACTTTATTTTTATTTCTGTATATTTATCATGCTAAATCTAAATCTAGATCTGCAAATAATAATTATAAAAAGGTTGGCCACTTTACGCTAAATCTAAATCTGCAAACAATAATTATAAAAAGGTTGGCCACTTTAACCTTGTTGAAGCTTTTCAAAATGATTCCTTTCCTTTATTTCTTGTATTTCTTTTATCCGTGTTGAACAAAAGAAGGAAACATCTCAGATGTTTTTATTTCATGTTTAGAGGGGGAGCTCTGACGCGCCAGCTGCCAAACAGCCTTGAACAAGAGGCTGGGGTTTTTTTATGATTATGACCTCCGTCATAATCATGTTGAACACAAAAAGCTCAAAGATATCGTGAGGTAAGGCAATAAATTTAATTTGATCTTCTGTGGCAGCCGACTATGAAAAGTTAAAGAGTAAACAAAACTTTTCCACACTGTAAAAAATATCTGTAGAAAGTGAAAAAAAGGCTAAAATGTTGTTAGTTAAAATTGTCTTAGTTTTTATATTCATTTCTTTTATGACTTTGTCTTTTTGTTCAAATATCGTGACATGATTGAGGAGTTTGGAGTTTGGAGTATTTTAACCTCTTTAGGGTCGTTGTCAGGACACACACACACCGGAGTCTGACGCTGCGGTGCAGAAACCAAACTGCCGGCCACAGTTGTTGTTATTTCTCCATTTAATTAGACACTTGAGCTTCCTAGGAAAGTGGTTTTGTAGCCGTGCAGATTATGTAGAGATATAATCTGAAAACAGTGTGTAAAAATCAGAATTTTCAATTTCACAGGAACATTAAATTTAACAGCCAATGCCATCAGCCCGTCTCGTTGCAGGCTAAAACTTCCCTTCCGGATTTTATAGCACGGATAATAAAAACACACAAGCAGCACACACACACACACACACACCAAAAGTTGCCTCTACACAGCATCCCATATTTGTGGGAAAAAAACAGCACGGTTCATTGTGTATCTAAACTGCCTCACAAGGCTTCACAGCTGCAGCAATTTGACCATATGCAAACAGCTGGCACTAGAAAAACAGCAGCTCATAAATAGAGCTTCCCTTCGGATACATTAGTCCTCAACAAGTACATCTGGAGAAATCGGAAAATTACACATCACCGAAAATAATGTACACTTATTATCTTGCCCCTGCAACCTCCGAATTATTCATGACAAGTTTCCTACTGCACTGCGTTATTGTTAAAGTTGCGCAATCAAGCTCAGAAGACTGAATTAGGAGTTGAAGTTAGCGGAAAGACGTGTAATGATATCCTCATTGTGTGAACCCACTCACACCCTACAGACTGAATACTGACAGAGAGAAATAAAGAAGCTTCACTTACGTAAATGTTCACTCCGTCACTGGAGTTCTGCAGACCAGTAATCACCTTTGGTTCTGATGACGTGAGGATGAGGTTCATGGGCCGGGCGTTTGCCATCTCCAGAGAGAACACCCCCTGTTCCTGTAAGAAAAAGAAAAGATGTGTATTTATGCTTCTATATCCGTACATAATTGTGTTTTTATACCTTAAATATTTGTGACACTGTTAACAGTCTCCACAGTTGTTCACACTGTCACACCTGAATCATGAGGTCGATGTCATGGCCAATGAAGGGACTGAAAGTTGTAACCAAACGGCCGAGCTAATCTCACGCTGCAACCAGATTGCTCCCTAATTTCATATGTACTTCGTATGGATGGTAAATCCAGCCTTCTTTGTCTGTCTCATCAGTCCAATTCCACTTTGTCTTCATCCCTCATGCAGTACGAGTATGCTGACTTCAATAAAATGAAATCAACTGTTTTAAGCAGTGGTTCCCAAAGGGGGAGGCAGGCCCCCCTTTGGGGGTGCTTAGCCATTGCAACAGAGGTGCAGGAAGGCAATTAATTTTAATATTGCCTTTAATTGTGGGGGGGGGGTGGGGGGGAGGGGGTACATTCATTATTGTAATAGCTGATTATATGAATTACATTCAGATAAAATTCAGTGTAGACTGGCAGCAGTAGCTTTGAATGTGTCGACACGGGGGCTTGACAATAGTCTGATCTATAAATGGGGGAGTTGCAGAAAAACTTTTTTTTTTTTTAAAGTGGTTTAAAGCCAATTTTTACTCCTAAGTGATAACTGTCAGTCAACGGAACAGAGACATTATTTTTTAAACACTTCACTGCTATGAAGAAAACACTGAAACATCAACGTTCAGTGAGAGTTGCACAAAGTTTCACTTTCTGAAACTGTAACATACACCGTATCTTACTGACATATGGGGCTTAAACAAATTGACAGTAATTACTGGGACTTTTTTGTGCCATTATCCGCCATCATCCCCGTTTCTACAGGGGACGCAGTGATTTCCCAGTTTGCCAGTCTGTCATCGAGTGCCACTAAATGAAGAGACCTCAAGTTGACGCACCAGAGACACATTTTGCTTGCAGCATCAAGTTTAAAAATAGTCCCTACTGCAGTTTAATTCGGTACAAGTCTGATTCCTTTTCTGCGCCGTTTCAGAAATCAGTGGGGGATATGACAATTATCCTTGTTTTCGCAACTAAAATGTCAACACATGCATCTTTCCAGAAAAAGCAGTGCCAGTCATTTGTGGAGGGCACATCGATGGGCAGGAAGGAAGCTGTCTTTGCTGTCTGTCTGTCTCAGCTTTGACAGGGACATTAATAAAACCAAGCAACGTGGTTCTATTATTATAACGCCTATGCCGCACGGAAACAAGGTAAACAAGTCCACGGCAAATCAAAAGCCATCAGGATAAAATGTTTATCTTATGTGCAATGAGCAATATTTTCTAATTTAGGCTCCAAGTCGTATCATTAAAGTAAAAACAATATAGAGAGGTGTCATAGTTACGTTTGAGTGAAGGCAGTAAAGACAGCTGAAGAACTGACAGTAAAAAGAATGACATGAAAGCCACAGTGTTCAACTGATATGAAGACGACATATTGAACCACAAAAGTTTTTACATTTTTATAAATGAAATAAAAGTGAATTTCCACTAAGCACCTTTAAGTAATTAAAAAATAAATATAAACACACACATATATATATATATATACATATATATATATATATACATATATATATATATATATGTATATATATATATATATACACATTTGTTTTCAAGTATCTAATTAGCACCACAAGCAAATCCAATATAATCCTAAACATCCATGGAACCTTTCAGAAAATAAGTTTACTTTTTTTAATCTGTTATCTCAGTGTTGGATATGGTATATTTAGCAGAAGAGAATTCGTTTTAACAAGGTAGTGCTTCCAACACTGTATATTCCACACCAGAAATAAAACCCCATTATCCTAACGCCACATAATACACGATTTAATCCCTCATTAACCATATTTTCAGTTAAGGTTAATCACCACCAGGGCCACAATGATTAAGCCTTAATTACCATGTTCCATATGTGTGTGTGTGTGTGTTGGGGGAAGTTAGTTTAGGTTTTACTTTATGAACGTCAACTGGGGAAAATACAACTTTTATAAAATTCGGGCACATTTTTAAGACTGACTAATTAGGAAAAATCGGACTTATAAATGAATATGCAGATTTAATAGCTTTTAGATTATCCACTAATAATACATTGGTTAAACTTTCCTCTCTGAGTGTTGTAGAAATACATCAATACACAATGAAAATATTCAGATTTCAGAGTTGCTGTAAAGACAAGTCATATTTCCAAAAAAAACTAAAAAACTAAATGAGTTTCAACCGGATGTTTTGCAGGGACTTTATCCTAAACTGCTGTGTCAGGCTTTAAAAAGCTCAGCAATCGTACAAATTCAATTTATACAACTTGATTTAAATAATAAATAAAAGAAATAATTAAAATGTCAATGGTCAAAATGTAGGAAAACAGACAATACAAATGAATGTGACGTAATGATGGTCAAGACACAGGTCAGCTGCAAATCATTCAGTGAAGACAGACAGACTGTATGATTAACTTCAGTCACGACTTTTACCTGAAACGTCTCCTGTTTTCACCCAAATCATGGAACAGTAAATGAATGAATGGCATTTCCTGCCGACCTCATTGTCCTTCATAAAGCCACAGTTTTCTCCTCTCCTCTCGTGAACCTTCATTGTCTGTTTCTGTAAATCCCCTCCCTTCATCACTTTTTGACTTCCATTCTTTTATTTTAAACTCTGAATCAGGACTCTGTCTCCTGACCCGCCGTCACCTTTGTTACTTTTGTTCCTTTTACTTTCAAGACACAATTGTTTTCCCTTTTTGGAACTTCTTTTTCTTTGGCGCAATTTTTGAAGGGCCTCTGCTGATGCTGTTTCCAGTTATTCTTTTGGCTCACTCCCTTTTACATGAATTGGCTCCGTTCGTCTGGTCCCAGCCCGGTGCCAAGACCCCGACTACCCGAGCCAGTGTGTGTGTGACATCAGTGGCCTGTGTAAAAAAAAAGCAGCTCCTCCCATTAATCCTGCTGCCCTGTGCAGTCCCCTGGTTCCCTCCTTTTGATTCTCTATGTACTTAAACTGAGCCAACTGGCAGGTTGTGTATCAGTATTAAAACAAAGGGATGCGATAGAGGGTGAAAGTTTAAAGAACATTTTACACAAGAGGCAAAAAAAAAAAAAACGATTAGAATGAATTTGGCAGGAGAATTAAGATTTTCTTTGTGTTTACAGGAGAAATCTGTTTTAAGCACTTGCGAGGAGATAAGCAGTCTGTGCTGAGAGATTGACTTTCCACTAGTGTTGCCATTTGGATAAAATGCCTCGTCACGGCCTCACGAGAACGGGGCACGCTGACTCTGTACAGCAGCGTTCACTGCATCACAGAGATCCCGAGTTCACAAAATTCCTTTTGTGAACTCTCTCAAACCTCTGCAGAACCGCTGCACCCGTGTCTGTGTCTGAGAAACTTAGTCAATTCATTAAGTGAAATGTGTCTATCTAATCTGAACCGTTTCTCTCTGCTCTCTTCCCATACTAATATATCTGTGTTTTCTCTTCAGGCTTAATATGATGACTGAAAGTGGTAATTCCCTTCTAATATGTTTTAAATCTGTTCTGTCATCAGATGACTTTTTCCCCCCTCTTGTTTCCAGTCCATTAAATGTGCTGCAAAACTTCAGGCCATTAAGTGCAACGTAACACTTGGTAAAATACATCAGCAACATGCCAAAAACAAAAAAAAAACACGTCTTTGGAGCTGCAGAACCAATAACCACCATGTATAATCTTACTGCACGTACTGAAAATAAGAGCGAGCAATGAAACACATTCTCACCCGGAATTAAACATAGAATATAACACTCCGCTGCTGTGTGAGCTGGTTATTGCTGAAGTTCCCCTTAAGGCTGTAGTCGACAACCCTGGGTCAATAAATAACATTTTTGGAGGCTGGAGGCTCTGCGTCTCTGACACCTTCTACCAAATGAGCGCGTACAGACCCACGCACCTCTGACTTGACAGATGACACAGGAAATTTCCTCATCTTTGAAATGCTATGCTGATATCAACCATAACTTGTATGGAACATACACGTATAAAACGGACGCGGCTAACCTTAGCTCTGAGTGACATTATGTAAAACTATGGGTGAAGTGACACTTACTGCACACTCAATGTGAAGGTTGTGATTCCATTTACATAAAATTAAAAAACAACAACGAATCCCAGTTAGGGCGGTTGGCACCTTCCAGTGGACTCACCACCCACAGGAAGGGTCACGAGGGGCTGGGGGCGGGCAGGGGG